GCGGTGGAGAAGAGCTTTGGTCGAGAGAATGGTAGTTGACGGGCTGGTCCAATAGCTGGTAGCTTGCAAAGGTGAATTGGAGAGCGGAAACCAAGCATCGACAGGCAAAGGTCAGGAAGGTCAGAATGCAGTTGTCCGAGCTTCTCAGAAGCGATCTGAATGACGCACGACAGCAAATGTTGCACGAATTGCAGGGGTTTAGTGAGGAAGGGAAAGGTTGGGAGGCTTGATGCAGCTTTTTGGGAGTCTCGTGTACACTGTACAAGGGCTGACACTACGTGACCGACAGTGAGGAATGAAATATGTGGCCAGCAAGCAAGATAAGCTAGTCGAGTGGAGTTTGGAGATAGGCTAGAGATGGGAGAAAGTCCTCCGTGCTCCATAGTCCGTAATAATGTGGTATTCCACTTTGCAACTGAATATTAGGTAGGTACCGGGTTACCAGTAAGTACAGTGTACCTTACTGAGCTCTGACGCTGTTGGTAAAACTAATACGTCTGTATTTCACAGCATTTCTGTGGAGCAACCCAAACTATAAGTACCGGGTTACCAGTCAGTAAGGGCCAGTAGGTAGGTAGTAGACTACCTAGTAGTACTGTTACCTACAGCGTTCGGCAGTGATGACCACTATCTACCTTTTGGCCGCATCAGGCAAGGAGACTAGGTACGGAGTATGTTTCTGTATAATTAGTACAACGTGATGCTATCTGATATCTCATTGCGGCCGGATAGAAAGATCGATTGAAGATTATCTAGCAGCTAACACTTGTATAGGTAAGGAGTAGGATGCTGAGCCTTGACACCTTGAGACAGATAATACAGGTCACATGCTCAGAACATTCACTGCTTTGTTTACGTAGACTGCCCCTCTTGAAAGCCCACAAACACAACCATTTTTCCCTCTGATTTCTTTCCCCCTCCATCCCATCCCACCTCCTCACCGCCTAACGTTTTCGTGATAGTGGTATCAACACGTGACTCCCCTTTATCATTTCGTCAAACAATCTATATCAGTTTCCAGCTCTCTTAAGAGGGCCAGAGTTCTGGTCATGTCTGCGGGCATTCAAGGCCTTCACATCTTGAATGAGGCAAGAGAGGTGAGTGTAGTCTTTGGTCCTTTTCACGATTTGAAGACTAACTTGTCAAGCTCGTCTCTCAACTGTACAGTCCCGAAAATGCAGGCAATCCCGCTGAGATCAACTTTATTCAGGAGCGTTTGCAGTCGCTTCAGAAAGGTCCTGAGGCATGGTTGATTGCCAATGATCTGCTCAGCGCTAGTAGCACTGATATGAGATTTTTTGGCGCTTTGACTTTCACTGTCAAAATCAACCATGACTGGTACGTGACTGACCGGAATGCCTGTTGAGTTTGACTTTCTGACACTGTTGCAGGCAGAGACTCAATCGGCAGGATGTTGAAGAGCTTCTTGGTCGATTGGTTGGCCACTATGCTGTGCTTGTCAACTCCGGAGAGCGGCCTCTCGTCATTCGAAAGCTGGCCACAACCCTGGCAACCATCTTCCTGAAGCCGGGTGCTCCTTGGATTCGGGCTATCTGGAACATAGCTGCTTCCTTAGCAGGCAGCAAATATGTCCCTGAAAATCAAGCTCGGTCTGTCGATTTGCTTAATTCTATCTTGCCGGCAATGTCTCAAGCCCAGATTGTTGCATTGCTCTATTTTTGCAACGTATTGGGAGAGGACATAAATAAGTGGAGTCCAGAGTTCCGGAAAGATGTAGATATTCGGCGTGCGGCTGAAAATATCCAAGATGCATTCGTTGTTGTGGAGTTCGTTCTGCGTCACTTTCTCATGCAGGCATCTTCCCAGGACTCCTATGACCCTACTCCGGGCATTGAAGCTCTCAACGCATACAGTGTAAGTTCACTTTGGGCTTGCAATTTTCATCATCTATTCGTGTGATCATCTGACACTGATGTTCTAGTCGTGGATGTCCGTGCAAGGTGGAGGCTTATTTCGATCCACGCTTTCGGCCTCCCAGCTAACGTCGGCCACAAACCATGTCGTCCAATGTCTGAAAGTTCCCGGTTTGTCGCAAACTGCAGCTCAGGTTGTTGTCGAAATGATGGATTGGAGGGATAATATCTTCGGTCAAGATCACCTCAATGCTATCCAGGCGTTTCTCATAAGTCATCTTGGTACCGCCCATATTACGTCGCTTCTGGATGGCGATTTTGAGGCTGAGAATATGGCATTTTTGGAGCTCTTACTGGCATTCTCGACTCTCAAACAGAGAGAGATTCTGACTCAACCTTTGAATCCTCAATACAACCAAATTCTTACTTTACTTCACGCCTTATTGAAGGCCCCCGGCTATGCCGCAGTGGATGACCTGGCGTCGCCCCTGGCCATCGAGTGGTGGACTGAAGTTGCCGACGATTTCCAGGAGATTATCGGTGATTCAGAGGACCAATCAAAGTTTGAGCCTGCCAAGCAAAATCTCGCCCGTGCAGCTTTGGACTGCTTTGAGAAGCTCAAGTATCCGACTCCAGAGGAGCTGCAAGAGTGGAGAGACGATGATCGCAGTGAATTCAGTTCGTTTCGCCGTGACGCTTGCGACTTTATTCTGGCCGTCTATCCAATTCTGGGTGTGGATTTAGTTCGAGTATTTCAGGAACGCTCAAGGACTTCTCTCGCACACCGAGACTGGAGAACGTTTGAGGCCGCAATCTTCTGTATTGCTCAGCTTTCTGAGGCCGTGGATGACAACCAGCATGCAGACGATTGTTTGAACGCGATCTTCTTTGGCGACGAGTTCGCTCATCTCTGCAAGGATGAAGGAATATCGATCCCAGACAAAGCTCGCCAAACTCTAGTGGATATGCTGGGAAGATACCAGTCTTACTTTGAGCGTACCCATGCTTTGCTCCCACTGGTGCTTACTTTCCTGTTTGCGTCTCTTGACGTTGCATCTTGTGCGCCAACTGCTTCCAAGTCTATCGCTCACCTCTGTAGATCGTGCCGCAATGCTCTGACCTCTCAGCTCCCAGCATTCCTAGATCAATTCGACCAATTCCGCCACAAGCCGACGGCCACGGTCATGACGATGGAGAAAGTTCTCGAGGGTATCGCTGCCATCATTCAAGCATTGCCTACGGATGAGCACAAAGCACAGTTCCTCGAGAGAATCCTGAGCTATCTCCATCAACAAGCAGAGGTGGCACGGGGTGAAGCCGCGCGTGATTTATCTGATGCTGCGTACAGCCGCGCTCTGTTAGTGTTGCGCTGCATCGCAAGTATCGGTAAAGGTCTCAGGACAGATAACGAAATCGTTCTGGAGTCTAACGACAGCGGCCATGGGGAGTCTCACTCGCTTACCTTCTGGAATTCCGGTCAAGGCGCGAGTTCTCAGGGTTTGATCATTCAATCTATGCAGCTACTAATGACCGAAGTTCCCAGGGATGCGAGCACGATTGAGGCTGCCTGTGACATACTGAAGGCTGGCTTCACTGAGAAAGCAGGTCCGTATGTGTTCCCGCCGATGGTAACTGTCAGTTTTATCAAAAGCATTCCTTTGGGCAGCGCCGGTACAGATATGGTGATGGGTACTGCCTCTGCATTTTTAGCGTCTCACTGTGCACACGCAGAGCATATCCGCGAGGAGACCGTCGCTCTGATTGTCCATGTGTACGAAAGCATCTGTCGAATGCAGCAGACGCCAGAGTCTTACGACCCCGAAGTTGCAAACAGCGGCATTGATTTCCTCACTCGCCTGCTTCCGAAATACCATTCCGTCCTCTTCGCGCTTACTTCTGCACCGCCACCGTCCGGCCAAAGCGGGTTCGGCGCAGACGATGCATCGCGGCGCCCCGTGCTGCAGACGATTTTGGACTTTACTCTACTGTCCTTGCAAGGTCCGGAACCGCTTCCTCTCCGCTCTGCCTCGCATTTCTGGGTGAGCGTATTGAGTCTGCCGATCGATCCAGGCGAGACAGACCCCGTCCAGATTGCCATCAATGAGTATCTTCCGGCGCTCTGTCGCGTTCTGATCCTACAGATTGCGGGCCGCTGCGCTCGCTCGGATATCGAGCACCTCTGCGACGTTCTCAGAAAGGTCATCTCTAGACACCAAGGCCAAGCTCGCCTCTACCTTTCAAGCGCTCTTTCCTCCGTGGATATCGACATCTCCCATGAAGGGCACGGCCATGTTTCTCCTCAGGAGAAACAGCGGCTGGTTGCATCTCTCATAGCCGCTAGGGGTATCAGAGCGCACACGAACCAGCTGGCACGTGCCTTTTGGATCAAATGTCGTGGAGCAGGCTTTGATTACATTGGTTAATGAATCAATTGCTCGATGACAATCCGGGTGCGTATTTTGGCTCTGAAAGCGAGGCTCTATGGAAACGACGTCGACTGAATTGTTCTACTCGCGACTGTCTGTCAAGCATTCGAGTCCAAAGTGAGGCTTGTTTTGTCTTTTGTCTTGGGCGGATGAGTTTCTAATTATGGTAACGATAGGGCTATCAGTACGTCGCAAGGGGTCCATCAAAAAATGGCTCTGTGGCTATGGGATTCGTGGATACTGGACCAGGGGGAGTGACCGATACATCTGCAGTGGAACCACCGAACAAGTACACATTCCACTCACACTACTGATATTGGTGATTGCATTCGTTGTTTCTCCTCATGTGGGTCAATAAGGACAGCGCGGCGCAGACTCCAGCCACTGGGGGCGGTGCAAAGAGAGGTCTTAGCTTGTTAGGCTGCTAGCAGTTACTCGTAGATAGCTAGGACTCTGAAGAAATTGATTCGTCCGCGTTTCCCATACTTTCCTCTGACAATCAAGTATCCAGAACTTCACCAGACGATCTGTTCCACCAAGTGGCACCTCCCTGGCTGGTCGGGCGGGGATGGGGCACTCGAAACAATTAAGTGGCATAGGCGCTTAGTCGTTTATCAACAAGTATTCATTCCATACTTCGCGAGGCATCGCTGTGTCTACGAGGTTCTATGAAACAAGAAAAACGGCGATCTAGTACAATATGCCTCATATCGCAAACACACCCGAGTCCGTACTGTCTCGCTCGGATTCACTAGACCCAGCCACGACATGCAGAGGCGTCACCGCAAATGGCCGACCATGTCGCCGTGCCCTAGCTGCCTTTACAGGACCGCAAAAAGACACAGCTTCGGCTTCCATGTACTGCTGGCAGCACAAAGATCAAGCGGTACCAGTACCAGCGTCGAATAATCCGAGATCAACCCGCCCCTCACAGAACCCACGGCCGAAGCCGCGAACAAGCATTGACACTTTGATGGACCGGCTGGGCGTTCTGGAGATCAACGACCCGCAGGAGAAACCAGCCCAGTACCGACGCCGGAAACCAAAAAAGCGGACAGTATGTTGCTGTTTCGAGATCGCGGAAGAAGTCGAGGACGAGCGGCCTCCGAGGCCTGTGAAAGTGAGCACGACTGCGAACACGGCAGATGCCCGTCCGTCACGGCCTATGCAGCAGGTCTCATCCAGCTCGTATCCTGGACGACCTACGCCGCCGGCCCAGAAACCATCATCACAGTCGACATTACTACCGCCTCGGCCAACATCCCACCGGCCATCGCTGCAGAGTAGCCCGGCGTCTTCCTCCTCACACACGACGACCCTCCTCGCATGGATCCCTCCAACACTAACCCCGCAGACAACCTCTTGCCTGCTCACGGAGCTGGCGAAGCCCATCTCCGAAGCGGACGAACCGGGCTACATATACATGTTCTGGGTGACGCCGTCGAACTCCATGTCATCGCCGCCTCCCGCTGAAGTCGCCAGATCGCTCGTTCCGGAAGCCCACAGATCAGCGCACACGCACCGCGTCAGCGACGCACTCCAAACAGCGCGCGAGATGAATGCCCTAACCTCCAAACCGACCAGTCAGGCATCTGGTACCATCCGCCTGAAGATCGGCCGGACGAGTAACGTGCAGCGTCGACTGAATGAGTGGTCAAGGCAGTGTTCGCATCATCTGACTCTGATCCGTTACTACCCGTATACACCATCGACGCCGTCTCCTTCGCCGGGTCGATTGCAGTCTGAAGGAAATCGGGGGAATAGCTACGCGTCCTTAGAGCCGGGGAGGAAAGTGCCCCATGTCCATCGCGTGGAACGACTGATTCATCTTGAGCTGGGAGATGTCAGGGTTCGGGATCTGGGGCGGTGCGAGGAGTGTGGGAAGGAGCACCGGGAGTGGTTCGAGGTTGCAGCGGAGAAACAAGCGTTGAAACGGGTGGACGAGTGTATCAGAAGATGGGTGGAGTGGGCAGAGAGTCAGAGGCTGTGATGGCATTCGCTGCGACTGCTGGATTCAAATGACAAGGTGGCAACAATGAATTCCTCCGATATTCTATCACGCGTTAGCCCAATATAAACGTATACAGCATCAACACAAACATACAAGAGCTTAGGCAACGCTGGATGGGAGGTCGACCGTAAAGACAAACAGCCCTGCACTCCAATAAGGCAGCAACTTCATGCCGATTCCTCCTTAACAATCTTCTCGTACCCATTAAAACCATTCGACGCATCCCGTCCACGACCCTTCCCTGTATTCCCGTCTTCGTTCAAATACCGCCTCAGCAACCACCTCCCAACCACAAACGCGGCCCACCCCCAACCCCACAGAAACGCACCCGCGACGGTCGTCGCAACCAGCACAGGCCCCAGCACCAATAGCGCGAAACAGCTAAACACCACCACCGCTATGCCACCCGCAACCACAGCCCCAATCAGAAAGATAGTGACCGGAATACACGAACATACGAACTGGCATAGCAAGAAGGTCGTGAGCAGGGGATGTGCGAGCGCGGTCTGGCATATCGTTGCGCGGAGATGGGAAGGGAGGATGTACGTGTCGAGGAAGGTGAGGATGGAGTGGAGGAAGACGAGAACGGACGAAGTGATTGGATTCGTAGAGTTGTCCTGGTGATCATCACCTATCGTGAAGGTATTCGGTAAGGGTTTGTGTGATTTGGGCGTTGGCACTGAGGCTGCATCCTCTTGCTTCTCTTGCTCGGGCTGTGTCTCCTGATTCTGCGACTTGAAGTTCTCCTCGAGATCGAATTGGGAATCTGGTCGAGATCGGAGATCCATCGGGTCCGTCATGATGGATTTTTTTCGTTCGTCTCGGGCTGTTGTCTTTGATTCCACGGCTTCGATCTCGTTTCGTTTCGTGTCGATGATGACATGGATCTGGAAACGACACAGATCAGTCAGATCAGTCAGATCAGGTCAGATTGGATTGCCTACTTGGGTTAGATTGTCTTCCTGTACCGTAATGGACTGTATTCAATTTCTGCGTTTCATTGGAAACTGAAAATATGTAGGTATTTTACCGGTGTCTTCACTGCCCGCAGTCGCCGATGGTAAGAATGGAGTAGTCGGAAATGAAGCCTGACAGTTGATCTGGTGCACCCAGCACAAAGGCCTGTCAATTAAATAGTCGATCTCAGAACTCGGACTTGAATCCCAGGAATAAAGTCTCTTCGCTGGAAGAAAGAGTATTATTTTGGTGATACTACTAGCCGTCACCTCGCAGTAGCAGCCATCCGCATGATCGACGGCGGGAACAAGAGCCGGTGGGGTTAAACATTAACACTGACACTCGGACCCTGAGCAATTTTCGGTTTTTTGGCTTCTGAGTTGTGCTTCAGCGCGTGCTCACAGAATTTGACTGCTGGTGTAATTGTTCATCAATCTGTATTTTGTCTACCTGAAAAAGGACAAATAGACAGAACACGCCTAACAATAATGTACCTGAAAGTCTTGAATGCAAAATGCATAAAAGAACGCTATATCAACTTTTCCAACGCCCATATCATGACAAGAACATAAGAATAATCACACGTAGAGAACAGTGGTATGATTACCATCCTCTCTTGGCCAATCTGTCTCCCTCAGGCATCTGAGACACGTTGATACCAACCATGGCCTCACCCAGACCCTCGCTCACCTCGGCGAGGACCTTGGGATCCTTGTAGTGAGTCACGGCCTGGACGATAGCCTTGGCGCGCTTCTTCGCATCACCGGACTTGAAGATACCGGAACCGACGAACACTCCGTCGCAGCCCAGCTGCATCATGAGTGCGGCATCAGCGGGAGTGGCAACACCACCAGCGGCGAAGTTGACAACGGGAAGACGGCCCTTCTCGGCGGTCTCACGCAGAAGCTCATAAGGGACCTCAAGCTCACGAGCGTAGGCGCGCAGCTCAATCTCGGGGTCGGTGGCGTTCTGGAGGATGGCACGGGCGCGGGCGATCTGGGAGTTGACGGTACGCATGTGCTTGACGGCTTCAACAACGTCTCCAGTACCGGCCTCACCCTTAGTACGGATCATAGCGGCACCCTCAGCGATACGGCGGAGGGCCTCGCCCAGGTTGCGGCAACCACAGACGAAAGGAACCTTGTAGTCATGCTTCTTCACATGGTAGACATCGTCGGCAGGGGTAAGGACTTCGGACTCGTCGATGTAGTCAACGCCAATGGCTTCGAGGATCTACAATTGACAACATGTCAGCTGCTATGCAGATTAACCACGAGAGAAAGACATCATTACCTGGCACTCAACAAAGTGTCCGATACGAGCCTTGGCCATGACAGGAATAGTGACAGCAGCCATGATCTCCTTGATCATGCTGGGGTCAGACATGCGGGCAACGCCACCCTGGGCTCTGATGTCGGCAGGGACTCTCTCCAGGGCCATCACGGCGGCGGCACCGGCCTCCTCCGCAATGCGGGCCTGTTGTGGAAGTCACATTAGCGTCGAAGGGCTGGAATTATTGTGTTGACAATCGCTCATACCTGCTCCGCATTGACAACGTCCATGATCACACCACCCTTCAGCATCTGAGCCAAACCGGCCTTGACAGTGAAGCCGTTGGCGGTGGAGGTGCCATTGGTACCGTTGGATGCCATTGTGTGTAGTTTTTAGAAAAGAGAGGTAGTTCTAGTGATAAACAAGAGGACTGAAAAAATCAAGGAGCGGATTATATACGAGAAGCAGAGTAAGAAATAGACTTGAGAAGGAGAAAGAAAATAGCCACAGCAAAGTGAGTTCTTAAGAAGAGCGAAAACGGACCTTTGAGTCAAGATGGATAACTAACCTCGATCAATAATGCCTGTCGCCTCCGAAGAACCACAAAGTTCCCGTATCCATAGTCCATACTTTCATGTCCCCGCCGAATTTTCTCCTCCTTCCACCTGGCCGCGGCATAGCAGACCAATCACAGTGCATCTGCCCCTCCATCCTCCCCAGCAGAATTCCAGCGTAAATCTGCCAATCTGCAAAAACGCCGCTCTTGGTGGGCGGTTTCCCGCGGACTTGGCCTGCAACGGTCAGGAACCGCTAGAAAGGCCAAGCATTGGTTTTTGCGAAAAACTCTATCGCGATGGTATTTTTGGTAAGATGATCATGTGATGTTAGAAGTCTGGTCTCGAATTTGCCAAGCATGCAGATTAGTAATACTGTGGATGAGGGATTATGACCTGATGGCCATGATACCAGAGGACTGACTAGATTGAGGATTGTGAGATATCTCATCCCGGGGTTGATGCTCATTATTTGTCTATCTGCCCAGCAGCGTTGCATTGACTTCAGGATCTCGAAAGAGGAAGTTAATGTGAGATGTTTACCTCATAAGAAATGGACGATGTGAGCAGTTAATTGATGTGATACTCTCCGCATCCCAGGGCAAGGTAGCTATCATGCAACGATCGTAATGTGCATATCTTCTACTTGGCGCTCAGTTCCTCTTGTTTACAGAACCACTATGAAGTCCAAAGGCCAAGCTTCAAGACTTCTTATAACATGCTCCAACGCTCCTCGGGTCAATCCCTGAAATCCATAACTCAGAAGCTGACCGCCTATTGACGTCACAGTAATGTCCTCCATCTCCACATACCAACGCGAACACCCCAGGTTCATTCGACAAGGAACCTGGCTCCTCAATTGAACATCGTCTCTATACACACTTAGACCATCGAACTGCTGACAACTCTACAACTTTTCCTCTCACCTCGAAACCACGAAATGGCATCCGGTCTTCTAAGCGGTTTCGCTCGTACCTCCACCGTCCTCGGCGTCGGTCTCGGCCTGTCCTTCTCCCTACACCCCTTGTCCCCATTCCGTGCTTCCCCAATGCAATGCCAATACACAGCTCCGTACACCAGACTCGACTCGCAAAACAGCACAGAATCCGGTTGGACCCTCGACCGCAATGACCCGGCCATCGCCAAGCAGGGGCGAACAGGCCCCCGCACGGCATCCGGGATCCTGACCGCTTCCAATATGCGCCAGGTGAGCTTGGGGAGTGTGCTTGGCCTTGTGGTGGGGGTGGGACTGAGGGCGTTCTCGAGAGCGTTGGTCGTGCTGCTGGGGATGGGGATTGTCGTGATTGAGGTATGCGGGTCCCGGAGACATCGTGTTTTCTAGTGGTTGTGAATGGTGCTGACTATGAGGTGTGTTGTAGTGGGCCGCTTCGAAAGGATACAATATCCTCCCTGTTCGGACGATGCAGAAGTATGTCAAGTCGGTGGATGTGCAGAAGGCTGTGACGCAGCATATGCCGTTCAAGATGAGTTTTGGGGCGACGATGGCACTGGCTGCGTTTGCGCAGTTCTAGGTGCAAGCACAAACATACCGGACGACCTATGTCTTCTTGACAGGATTCGTGCCATGTAAGATACACAGGAAGAGAAAACCGGATGGTTTGGTTTATGAGCAGAATCTTCGAAATGGTCTTATCAGTTATGTCTCTCAATTGTGATATACAGTGCTATACAGGGGTATCATGAGTTATGTCTCATCCATCAACCCAATACCAGATCTTCCAGGACTCCCTCCATCTCTTCTCGCGACAACGGTACTCCTAGTATTTCCATTCCGCTTGTGTCCATCCGCGATGTGATCATCTGATGGTCATGGAATTCTTTCAATAGTGTTCGGAACATCATTTCGGAAGATGCAATGAACTCCTCGGCAGCCTTCTGGTAGAGCATTCGGAACTCAATGCCCGTCTCATCGTTGACCCCGTCTTCTCTTCCCGCATGACCGTCCATCTCGTCATCCGAATTATGACCTTCCTCCATCATGCATAGCAATTCAGTGAGAAGGAGTCGGTAGAGATTCCGCGCGTTCTCCGGAAGGCTCTTCAACACGAAGCCAACACCATCTTTACCACCAATGCGACGGCCCTTGCGCCCAAGCAGGTTGTGAACCTCTTCCACAACATCAAACTCTGTATCAAACGCGGCAAATGTTGTGCAGTCGTGAAAAACGAAATTGAACTGATCTCGAAGGCTGATATCCCACATCAACAGAAAATTCGGAGTGTCCGCCGTGGCTAGTAAACGTATCTTTGGCGTCGCGGCCAATCGCGCGAGGAGGGCTTGGTTCGTTGCTCGGCGGAGGGGAGGGGCGTCGATCGCATTGACCAGTACGGTAATTGGCTTCTGGGAGGGTCGAGACTTCAGAGCAGATTGCAACAATTCTAATACCTCTAATGGCTGAGACCCCATCTTCGAAGGAATGTCCGCACCTAGGACAGCAGTCACAATAGTGGCAAAGATAGACCGAATCGACAGGTTCGGAGTATGCCCGTTGACGATTACAATAGAGGGAGGTGAAGCGCTGTGTCTCCGGTAGAGCCAGTCTGCAAAATCATTAAGGAGCTGACGCTTCGAGCCGTAACCGTAGAGGCAGATATTGAAGTCTTGATTGAACTCAAAATCCCACTGCGGAAAGGACCGACAATGCAGGTCCAGCAGAAAGTTCTTCTCCTTCTGGCAAGGGTCGGTATATCCGGCCAACTTCTCAAAATACTCCTCGTGCGTCAAGAGATTCACTTTGTTGAGAGTATTATTTGACGTCCGCGGAGGGCCGGCTCTGTTCTGGAAGAAATATCGCTCATGTGCCGGCAATTCTCCCTCGGGAGTAGGTGAGCGCTTATTTCTTGCACCTTTCGGTCTCCCTGCACGACGTTTCGGCGTCGCTGCAGTCTTGGCCTCGGCTACCTCTTTGGTGTCGCCTTCGACTGTTTGGATGATCCCGTCGCCATCCTCTACAGCGATCTCAGGTGCTTCGCCCTCATCTTCCAGAATTTCCTCGGCTAAACGGTCAGCACCGTCCCAGACCTCGTCTTCATCCTGCTCCAGCAGCAAGCGAGCGCTTTTCTTCTTCGCAGATCGATCGGCATTTCGTGCTCGGTTTGGCGTGGAAACAGCCGTCGCTTTTGTAGGTGTTGAGAAGAGAGCTTTTGCCTTGGTTCTATGCGTAGGAGTTTTCAGGCCCGATTCCTTCAGCGCAGCGGGTGTTGCTGAGGCTGGTTTTTGGGGTGTTGATTTTACCCGTTTCGAGGGCGTCACGTCGAGTGATCCATCAGCGTCCGCATCTTCATTGGTAGAGCCATTGATCAACGCGGTTCTCTGCCTCTTCGGCGTCGAGACAGGACGCTGGCCATCGTCTGAATCTGGTTGCTTTCGTTTCATTTTAGTAAGAATGTACCAATCACAACATCACCAGCGAAAGACAAGCGGAGATCAAGTACCATTCACGCGCAGCAAAGGTTTCGATCGGTTCGAAAATGGGAAAGAAAAAGGCAGGAAGCAAGGGGGTAGACCGTGGATGTAGAGGTATGTTCAGCTTGGCCGAGTTCTGTGTCTTTCGAGGCTTACTCCCAAGTAGGCGCGTCTGGAACGCGACAAAAAGAACAAAAAGAAGCCGGCGGCGGCTATTTCTCCGACTCCCGCGATATCGGATCTCCATCATCTCTAGAAATCTGGGAGGGAATTATCTCGCAATCACCACTGGACTAGGGTTTCTGGCCTATTCAGAAGCTTGGCAGGGATTACTTCTGTCATCCAATCTGGACCGGGGTCGACATTAGCCAGACAAGTTCAACTTTGACCTTCAATTGCCTGAGTCAGTTGTGAGTCACTTTCGGCCGCCAGTACTATATCTTCCCATATCTCCGTCCACTATACTCGTGGAGTTTGCGCTTTTTTCTGATTCTTTCCAGACGATATTTGATCATATATTCATGGTTTCTCCGGCTCAGCCAGCAGCCACAATGGCTGCTTTCGCCAGAATGGTGAAGGGCCAAGTGCGCAACTACTCTGCTCCTCTGGACATGGCCATTCCGGCCTCCAAGCAGAAGTACATTCCGTCCTCCGGATCCTACCCAAAGGGATTCCTCGTCTCCGGTACCCATGTCGGTGTCAAGGCCTCCAACACGAAGTTCCCGGACCTGGCATTGATTTCCTCCGAAACCCCATGCTCGGCTGCTGCGGTTTTCACCACCAACAAGTTCCAAGCGGCACCTGTTCAAGTCAGCAAGAAGACGCTTCAGAGCCGCCAGGGACAAGGCATTCGATCGGTGGTTATCAACTCGGGCTGCGCCAATGCGGTCACCGGTAAGGGAGGTCTGGAGGATGCAGTGAACATGGGCAGCAAGGTGGACGAGTGCAACGGACTCGGCGAGCCCAGCACGCTCGTCATGAGCACTGGCGTCATTGGACAACGGTAATTCCTCCTCCACACTCTTCAGCATTGCAAAAGCCATGGAATCTGACGGGCCATGACATGCCAGACTCCCCATCTCCAAGATCCTCGACAAGATCCCCACGGCCCACGCAAACCTCGCATCCACCCACGACGCATGGCTCACCACCGCCCGCGCCATCTGCACGACAGACACCTTCCCCAAGCTGCTCTCGCGAACCTTCACCCTCCCCTCGTCCCCCGGCCGCACCTACAGCCTCGCCGGCATGACCAAAGGCGCCGGCATGATCCACCCGAACATGGCCACCCTCCTAGGCGTCCTCTGCACCGACGCGCCCATCGACCCCTCCGCCCTGCAGTCCCTCCTCAAGTACGCCGTCTCGCGCTCCTTCAACTCCATCTCCGTCGACGGCGACACAAGCACAAACGACACGATCGCCATCCTCGCCAACGGCGCCGCCGGCGGCGCCCCCATCCGCTCCCCCGCCTCGGACGACTACACCGCCATGCAGGACATCCTCACCTCGTTCGCGCAGTCGCTCTCGCAGCTCGTCGTCCGCGACGGCGAAGGCGCCACCAAGTTCGTCACCGTCCGCGTCCAGAACTCCCCGGACTATGAGTCCGCCCGTCTCATCGCGTCCACCATCGCCCGGTCCCCGCTCGTGAAGACCGCCCTCTACGGCCGCGACGCGAACTGGGGCCGTATCCTTTGCGCTATCGGGTACACACAGGGCGTGGCCCCGGGCACGGTCGTCCCTGAGCGCACGAGTGTCAGCTTCAAGCCTGTTGATGGAAGTCCCGTTCTCAAGCTGCTCGTCAACGGTGAGCCTGAACAAGTCGATGAGGAGCGCGCCAGTGTCATTCTTCAGGAGGAGGATCTGGAGATCGTCGTTGACTTGGGTGGTGGTGAGAAGGGTGAGCAGGGCCTTGGTGGTGAAGAGGCTGTCTACTGGTTCTGCGATTTCAGCCACGAGTACGTGACTATCAATGGGGATTATAGGACATGATCTTCTAAGCAAGAAAGAAAGTTTACAACAGCACGAGATGTTTGTTGTGATTCATTAATATATATGCCCAACAATTCAACGGCCCGAACCATTCTGTGCCTCGAATACGTCAATGTCTAAGCGGCCTGGTGCGATGTAATTTTGAGATCGTTTGTTTTATAAATATGGTTACAAACTAAATGGAACGCTATGTACAGTTGTGGCTGTCTTTAAGACGGAAAAAAGACCCCAGCATGCAAGAACTCCCAACTGTGACAGTAATATAATCATACATGCAAATCCCCGATATTTCCGTCGTAGATTCCAGCCACAACAGCGCATCCATCCAGAAATCAACGAGGAAGAATAAAAGGAAATGCGATAAATTCAGATTCCTTTCTCGTACCACTCATCAAAGCGTCCCCTGCCTAGTTACCGGGAACAAGGCCCTTGAGGCCCGATCCGATATCGCCTTCACGTGCGGCGATTTCAAAGTAGCCGTAGATAATACTAGATAGAGCTTGCGTCAGTGACAAAATCGCATAAATGACTGGCGATGGATATACTCACGTCACGGCAAGGAGGATACCAGTACCGCTGCCAAGGGCGCCGAGCAGGTCGGAGGTGACGGAGAGGGCACCAATGCAGGCACCGCCAAAGGCAGCAGCAGTAGGAATGATTCTCTTGAGCTCCTTGTACATGCTCTGCTCACGGTGACCGGCCATCACAAGACCCTGGTCCTTGAGCTGCTTGGCGACATCGCGAGGGGCAGAGCCAGAGACCTCGATCCATGTCTTGGAGAAGAGGGCGCATGCGACCAGCATGAATGTGATATACACAGCCGTGTGAATGGGGTCAAGGAGAGCCTCCTTGAAGTTGAGGGGAGGGGACATGTAATAAGCGATACCCGAAGCAGCGTGAAGCTGAGCAGAGCCATCGCGAGGCTCCCAGACACCGAGGAGTCTGACGAGGAGGTTGTCGGAGAAACGAGAGTACAGCATTTGACTGACGAGGAAGATGTTGGAGCTCAGAGCGGACTGCAGCATGATGGGCATGTTGGAGGTGTAGAACAGGCGGACGGGGTAGGAGCCACGCATGCCACGCTGGCGGGAGGACTTGACGGGGATCTCAACACGGAAGCCCTGGAGGTAGATGACAGCAGCGAAGACGAGAAGAGTAGCCAGCAGGTTCATGATGTTAGGCAGGTTCTGACGGTAGAAAGCTTCGCGCAGAGCACGTTGCTTGTCGGGCCAGGTCAGGAGCAGGTGGAAGAGAGCAATGATGGCACCCTCAAACTCGGGACCACGGCCGGTGTTGATGGTAGTGGGAGAGAAGGCCTTCCAGACAATCGACTCGCAGATGTTGGTGGCAATGAAGAGCGAGATACCGCTTCCAAGACCGTATCCCTTCTGGAGCAGCTCATCCAGGAGGATGACAACAAGACCAGCGACAACGAGCTGAACGATCAGCAGAACGCAGATACCGGCACCAAGATCACTGGGCTGGCCGTAGAGACCAGTCAGGACGTAGACACAAGCCTGGCCGAAGGAGAGGATGATGGCGAAAAGCTTCTGGGCGGTCTGGTAAAGCTCACGATCGGTCTTGAGGTCAAGATTGACGTCGATGAGGTGGGTACCTGCGAGGAGCTATGGCAGCGACCAATTGATTAGCTGCTGGACTGTTTCCGAAAACCAGAAGCGACCCGACTGAAAACATACCTGGAAAACCATGCCGGAGGAGATGATAGGGGTGATACCCAGCTCCATCAGGGTACCACGGTTACTGGCCAGCATCATACGCAGCCAGTACAGGGGGTCCGAGGTGTCGGAGGAGACAATACCGTAAAGAGGCATTTGGCTCATGACCAAGAAGATCAACAACGTCAACTAACCAGACAGTCAGCGCTCCAATTCCCTGTTCGCGGTCCATCAGAATAAGCAACAACATACCCCCGTCCACATCAACTTCTGGTTGAAGGGCACCTTGGTTTCAGGAGCTGCCACCTCTGGCAGGAGAGGCGTGAAGGGCTTGATTAGATCAAGAAATCGAACTAGAAGCCAAGCACCAGTCAATATGGAACAATTGGCCCGAAAATGAGAGCTATCGCGACGGAAAATGCGATCGCGTGCAGAGACAACTCACGTCCGCTCATGGTGGCTGTCGACCTCCCGTATCACTAAAAGGATTATGGGGTGGAGTGAAGAAAGTAAAAAAAAATGAAGCTGGAGTTACGAAGCCAGCTGAAGGAGCGAAAGGTGTTGAAAAAGAATTAGGAAGAAGGAGAAGAGAAAAGACGAGCAATTATTACACAGAGGAGGGAAGAGGTGAGGTCGAGGAGGTTTGGGGTCAAAAGCAGAGCACTAAGAGAGTAGACGCCTCGCTGGCCACTTTACTTTCTCCAGCCACGCTAACCCCGTTGAGGCCACTTGGTCGCTTTCCCTGACAATTTTCCCCCCGTTGAGGCCACTCCGCACGAAGGATTGTGGATACACAAGCTCATCGATACATAGCTGATACTGCTGTGCTGATATTCAAATGAGTCATGATAAATGCGTTAAGAAGTACATTAGTTCAGCTTGACGTTGAGGGATATCCCACACACTTCAGTTGAAATCCCTCGTTGACCGAATCAGACTACCTAGACTACGTGCACTTATTACTTAGAGGTCACTTGAATGTCTTGCTATGACAGACAGATTAGTAGAAGGGTGATATATCCGGATATCTAGCTCGCAAGCTCACAACATACAATCTTGCGCAAAATTAAGATCCAACGAGACTAAGACAATCGTCGACAACCAGTTCCAGCTCGCTCAGCCGTAGCTTCAAACCTCTATTCTCCTCCTTGATGACGCCGAGCACGCCCCACGCCTCCGAGGCTGGGACTCCATGGCAGATATTACATTTGGACGTGTGACCCATCCACGAACTAGTGATACCCGTAGAGGCAAGTCCCTTCAGCACGCGGTCGTACGTAGACTGGCGCATCGGTGGCGCTTGAGCCGTTTTCGACTCTTTCGTACTCGGCTGTACAGGGGTCGACGTCGGGATAGACAGAGCGATTTGAGAGATGTTCGGCGACGGTGCGATCGTCGACGTCGGTGATTCAAGGCCATCACGGCGTGAGAAGATACTTTCTGCGAGACTCTCATCGCCAGAGTCAAAGCCCGAATCACTCGTATACGTGCCATTGCTGGCTCGCTTCAAACTGCGTTTCGGCGTCTGCAATTCAGCTCCGATGTCAGAAAGGCTCTCTTCGTCACTCGACCGAACAAGCATCACGCTGCGACGACGCGCATCATCTTCTCGCCGGCGCAGTTGCCTTTCCTGCTCGAGCTCCTCGGCCATGGCCTTCATGGCCTTTTCCTGCCGGAGCACCTTCTCCGCCATACCATCAAGCTGGACTTTCAGGTGTCCGACCCGCGTTCGAGTCTCTTCCAGTTCTTCCTGCTTTTCATTCTTGTCCGCCAAGGCTTCGTGCAGGGCAAAAGTCCTCTGCTTGTAGGCTGCCTGCAGCCGTCTAAGAAGGTTGTCGGCGTTGGTTCGCAAGGCACTGAACGCTTCTTGTCCATCGAGGTCGATTGATTCTGGTGGGAACAAGGCAGCAGTTATGTCCATATTGAGAATCTCGTCATCTGCAGGTTCGGGAAGCTCCGGTCGGCCTTCCCCCTGGCGCTTGAAGGCAAAGAAGTTGAACGGACTGGTCGATGTGACTTGTTTGAGTGGCGAAGAGGCGCCGGAACGTTTTGATACGCGATTCAAGAATGTTCCTGAGGGCGCCAATCCCAGGGCATCCTGATCTGCTGACTGGGGCACCATTGTCAGATTCACGGGCTCCGACTTGCCCTGAAACCAACCCGACAAGAGTTTGGCGCCCACTTCAAGTGTCTTTCTGGCAGAGTTCTCGGGCGCCGGACTCGAGCACCTGTCTCGGTCGACTAAGTCTTCGTATGTTTTGGGCTGGTCTGCAAAGAGCTGCTTGACCGGTAGGTGCGATTGGCGGCGAATAATCTCAGTATTTGCCCGACGGTGGAAAGATGTGTGTGCAGATGTAAGACGTTTTTTCTCCGGCAGTGGGGTTAATGTATCGGCTATCTGTGCTGAGTGAATTGGAGGAGTGTTCACCGCGTTCTCGAAGGAGGGCCGAGTATCATCGTCGGACTGATGGCAGTTATCCTGAGCGACCGAAGAAGTTGGAATTGAGATAGGTTCGAGGTTGCCAATGACGACAGCAGTCGAGCCCGTCATCGACGAATGATCGCACTCCTGGAGCATCGTGGAGCTCGAGCTTTGAATGGTCACTGGTCACTGGTGAAAGGGGATATGGCCAGGAATGGTAAAGGTATGCAAGCTGTTGTACCACTTGGACAACGACTGGAATGCCACGTCGATAATAGCCCGTTCAGTCCAATAAAGTACGGTTACCCACGTCAACCATTGAAGCGGGAAAGAAAAATAGGGAGGGACAGATTCGAGTACTCCGTATTCAAGCACTGTCACAGATGACCGAGAGGGCTCTCCCCGTCCCTTTTGTTTTGCGTAAATGCGGGGAGAGGTCCGTAAAAGGGTGTGGCACTGACAATGTGTTTAAACCCCTGGAGAACTTGAAGGATCAGGCTCAAGGGAAACAAGTCAATACAGCCTTAAGGTGAGTTAGGAGAGGAATTGTAGCAACAGTAATCAGTCTAGACTGGAGGATTGACGGTGATCAAAACGCCAAGCGATAGCAATCAGGAGAACCCACACGTGCCCCTGTCAGGTCCAGGAGGACTGGAGAATCGGAGAAAGACTGCTATCGCGACACGATCAAGCTGTGGGAGACTTTGAGGTAGTGTTTCCAATGTCGAGTCGGTTAGACCATAGAAACATTATTCAACATTTGTTTCGCCTCTAGTCGACCATGCAAGTGATGCAACTAGTTTCGTACCATTTTGCAGCGCTTTCCCTTAGATTTAACAGCGACCGCGGATGTCGCGAGGCTGGGGGCTTTAGCGCCCGATTAAGAGGATCATAGGATGATACTACTCGGACTTTCCCTCCGCAGATCATCGAAAATGCGGTGGCTGGAGATGGAACAGCTTCCCTCTCACTCCACAGGATAACCTATTATTGACTACTGAGATTTGACCCTTCATCTCAAGCCGCGTGGACCGAACCACTTTTTTTGCCTTTCCAGGACAGGTCATTTATGTCGAGCGTATGGCGACCACTTTCTTGTGGTTGAAAAGCCGACGTCACTTGTGTATGGGATCCTAGACCACACTGGAAGACGTAACGAAGAATGCCAGAAAGAGATCTGACTGAGTGGACCATGACAGTGTCTAGTCTATGTCGTAAGGAGACGATGGCTGATGCTCTTCTTTAAGGCTCAGAAGTGCAATCTTGTTGCGGGAGGGCCGCAGCAGATTGATTAGACAATTTGTTGACGATGATACACACACACACTGCGGTTTCATGTTTTTGATAGAGGCTGACTAGTGACAAATGATTCGCCCAACCACAGCCGGCAGCATCTACGATGATAACCGTGGATGTCATCCTTGGACAATCCGTGGTTGCGGCTCAGTGGTCCCCTGACACTACTACCGCTCATCAGATGCGAATATCTGCGAGATCGATCTTTGCCCAGAAAACAGCAGATCTCTTTGATTGATCCTGGTTCAATCACAAAACCCAAGTAGATCGCCCACGGGATCGCGCTTTTGTGGATGCTCGATGAATTCGCGTGCCATGGACACCACAGAAGGCCGTGTCCGCAGTAGCCTCATGCATGTTGAAGCAGCCGCCAACACCGTTCTCTGCTTCTTGTGGGCAGGGACTTGGAAATGTCTGTTCTGCCGATGAAACATTTCTCTGCCGCAAATTTGAGTCAGTCTTTACGTACTACCAAGCAGGGGTCTCCAACATGACAGCGCGCTGCTTTCCGCCATGACTCAACTCACAGGAATGAATTGAGTAGATATCTCGTCGTGTTCTTGCCGCGGACCGATGAATGTGCGTTGCTTCTAGAATGACCAACTGTCTAGTGATACGCCGAAGTCTAGAGTTCCCTGTCCGAGCTACCTCGAGAGGTCGCAAGTTCTCAACAATGCACCCTCGTGGCCCTGGAACTTTCAGTGACTTCACAATACTCACATGAAAGGCAGCTGATCATGCGCATGGAGAAGGCTTAATATATTGCTGTGTATCGAAATAACTGATGAGTACACACGAGCCCGCATTCCGGTGGGTGGCGCTGTAAAATTCCAAGCGCAACTGGGTCAAGCTCGTGTGAAGACTGGCCTCGTTGACCAGAAGGTGTGCTATCTCCATTGCGAGTTGCGACACCTATTGGACGTGGATAGTAGTGGCATCCTCAAGAAGTCAAGATTTCCCGGGTTCCTCCCTTGTTTGCTTCTCTGGATCTCGTCAATCATGACGATGCACATGCAGCCCAGATGGGCCGATCTGCATTCTTAACGTGTCTGCCCTCTTTTCGCAGTCAATTCTCCGTTCATCGCCCTATCTGACATGTTTAATAAAGGTGTCTGCATGTAAAAGCAACGGCCGCGTTTGTTCCTGACTGCAATCGAAGCTGAGATTCACATCAATGAGTGGCTAAGCGAAGATTGCCGCCATGCAAACACTGGCAGCTCTTTGTCTAATAGCTGACATCAGCAGCATCACTCTGGTTGTTCTCCTGACAATCCCTGCCATTCGAACCTTACTCGTATCTGCAGTGAGGCGTATCCATGGAACGGACGGGTGCTTTTGCGAATTTTACGTCGATCAAGATGGAGAAGCAGACAGAGCGTCGATTGCCGCGTCCAGGAAGGAGTTTGAGAGAATATTCAGTACGATGGCAGTCGTCAGCGGGGGGGCAACAGCTTTGGCGCGAACAATGCTGCCTGCCAAAATGTTTTCCTTCAACATCTGGGCACAGCTCATTCTCTGGGTGAGTAACTGCTCCCTGCGTCCGCATATGGTTCTAATGATCATGGTTGCTAGATTCTTCAACTCGCTCAATCAACAGCCCTTGCGATAGAGAATTCGCCCACTGCTCGGTTCTCCCTAGGATGGAAGCATGCGCTCAGTGCTTTAGTCACCATCACCAGCCTTGGATGGGAGCTCTTCGCAAGACACAAGACCGGCCTTTTGGATGATGTCCACTCTTATACAATGGGTGTGGAAATTGGTGTAGCGATACTGATTGTGATCATAAGCCTCTCGCTGCCTCGACGTCCGGATGTATACCGACGTGGAACTGTGGTCGACAGAGAGCTTACCACGTCCTTTCTAGGCCGTGTGACATTCAGTTGGACTAACCTCCTAATTCGACGGTTTTCTCGCAAAATTGACGTTGACATTGACCATCTGCCGGAGTTGGATTTCGACACTCGAGCAGGGAACCTTCAAGAATCCTTCGCGCAATCACATGCTCAGGCTTCATGCTATGGAAAAGGCAGGACTTCCTTATGGAAAGTCCTTGTGTTCTCGAACCGCCGACATCTGCTGTGCCAGCTTGCTCTTTCAGTCCCGGCGAGCTTCCTGGCGTTCGGTCCCCATCTTTCCCTTCTTCGGATTCTTCGGATCCTCGAGAAACGCTCTGAGGGGGCAAATGTTACTGGAGATCTTTGGTTCTGGGTGTTGGCCTTGGGGATATCCACAAGTCTATCAGCATGGCTTGAGGCTTGGATTGGTTGGATTGCTTCTAATAAACTCGCTATCCGAGTGTACGAGCAGCTCTCCGCTGTCATGTTCAGCAAGGCAATACATTCGACAGCATCAAGTCAGAACGATCTGAAGAGCAACGGGAAAGATGACGGTGCTCAAGATACACAGGTTGCTGTGAATCTTGTGGCAGTGGATGTGCCACGAATTGCTGGAATTGCAACTTTCCTATACAGCTTCCTTTTAGCGCCGATGAAGCTGGGGGTCGCTTGCGGACTCCTGCAGCACGTCCTTGGCTGGAAGAGCCTCTTGGCGGGAATGACTACTTTAGCGCTCCTCATGCTTCTGAATCATGCCTGCATGGCTAGATATACTCGGGCAGGGAAGGATTTGATGGCATGTCGTGACCGCAAAATCATCGCTTTGACAGAGGCCCTTCGTGGTATACGCCAGATTAAGTTCTCCGCCGCCGAGGATAGGTGGGAAGAACAGCTGGGCCAACTCAGGGATGCAGAATTGCTTGCCCAGGCGACCAGCTTTCGGTGGAATGTGATATGTTTCTCACTTTGGGTTCTGGCCCCAATCCTTCTGTCTGTAGTATCTCTCTCCGTTTATACTATCAGCCATGGAGAACTTACAGCATCTATTGCCTTCACTGCAATTTCTGCTCTTACCTCGATTGAGATTGCCTTGTCCACACTTCCAGAGTTAGTCACAAACGCAGCGGATGCCTTGATCAGCATCAAGCGCATCGACAACTTTCTGAACACCCCTGAGAGAAAGTCCTCTATAATACGATCAACCACCATCCGCTTCGATAACGCTACAGTCGCCTGGCCGGACAGTGCTCAAATCAGCGAGGTGACCTCAGGAACACCATTTGTGCTACGAAACTTGACGGTACACTTTCCTGAACATAAATTGAGCCTTGTGTGTGGCCGAACAGGCGCTGGTAAAAGCTTGTTGCTCGCTGCGATACTCGACGAATGCAAAATTCTGGATGGAATAGTCAGAAGGCCGTCAATTATGTCTTCCAGACGCATGTACAAGCTTCCCAGTCCCGGGCAAGATTGGATAATAGACTCTGCAACGGCTTACGTTGCTCAGACTCCGTGGATAGAAGCAGCCACAATTCGCCAGAACATCTTGTTCGGGATGCCATTCAATGGGGAGCGATATAGGAAAGTCCTCTTCGCATGTGCTTTGGTCCGAGATCTGCAGATCCTGGAAGATGGAGACCTTACTGAGGTCGGACCGAATGGAGTGAATCTGAGCGGCGGCCAGAAAGCACGCATCTCTCTTGCCCGCGCTCTCTACAGCCGCGCAGGCATCATGATCATGGACGACATCTTCAGCGCGGTCGATGCCCACACCGCGCAACATCTGTATGAGCATGCTCTAGCAGGCGAGCTCGCACATCGCCGGACTAGGATACTCGTCACGCACCACGTGCGACTCTGTCTACCCCGTGTGGACTACTTGGCTTATTTAGATAACGGGAATCTCATATATGCTGGATCTATGACTAATATACGAGACAGCAGCGTACTCGATGAGCTTCTTGGCGGTCAATCTGATGAGGATAGCACGGCAGCTGTGTATGAGAATCCTGAAGCACCAGGGCCCCAGGAACAGTTCGCATGCTCCAACGAAAGATGCCATGACTGCCCGGTAAATCTTAGGTTTGCGCAGCGTTCAAGTGTTTCTAAACGCCCTAGAAATTTTGTGGAGGAGGAAGCTCGCGAAAAAGGGGCCATTCCCCTGAGCGTCTTCCGTGGATACATCCAGAAATGCGGCGGATGGCGGGCGTGGGCCGTGCTGGCTCTCTGCTTTGCGATGTATACTGGCCTGGCACTCGGAAAAGTGAGCTTCCCCTGGTGCTATATTTGATGACGGTTAATTGACCTTTCAATAGGGTTGGTGGCTAGGCCTATGGTGCGAGCAAAAAAGATCACCGTTGGCCTCGTCTGGGGTATCGCCTGAGCTACAGTTCTACCTAGGCGTATACATCGCTCTGTCGGTCATTGTTTGGATAGTAGGCTCGTTGAGGTCCTACCTTGCACTCACCGCGTCGCTTCAGGCTTCGCGACGTCTTTTCAGCCAAGTATTGCACGCCGTCTTCCGAGCACCACTTCGTTGGCTCGACACCGTACCATTAGGCCGTATTTTGAACCGATTTACGGCAGACTTCAACATGATTGACTCACGTCTGGGGTTCGATGTAACGCTTCTTTTGGGCGAGAGCATGCAAGCACTAGGCGCTGTCATTGCTGGAATACTGGTCAGTCCCGTCATCGTCGTTTTCTCCGGAATTGTAGCGTGGGTGTGCGGCTGGTATGCCCGCCAATATCTTGCCGTGGCACGAGAATTGAAGCGACTTGAAAGTGTAAGCCGAAGTCCTATCTACGAGCTGCTTGCTTCTTCTCTTAGCGGACTCTGGACGATCCGTTCCTATCAAAGGGTGGATTCATTCGTTGATAGAATGCATGGGCTGATTGATCGACATGCTCGTGTCTACTGGAATCTTTGTCTTCTGAATCATTGGCTTAATTTCCGTATCAACATCAGCGGCGCTCTGTTTGCGACTGCGGCGGCAATGAGCTTCACTCTCCTGCAAGACCTGAAAACGTCATCAGCCGGATTCGCGATTAGTTTTATCATTCAGCTGAGCGCAGCGCTTGCCATGGCGATCAGGATGTATGTCATGTTCGACTTGGACATGAATTGCGTGGAGAGAGTGTTGGAGTACTCCGACATCAAGACAGAACGGTACGATGGCCAAGATGCCCCGGCCGCATGGCCGCCCAAAGGCCGGTTGGAAGTCACAAACCTATCAGTGGGCTACGCACCCAATCACCCATTGGTTCTCCGTGGGGTAAGCTTTGAAGTCGAGCCCAACGAACGAATTGGTATAGTAGGCCGTACCGGAGCGGGCAAGTCATCGCTGGCGCTGGCTCTTTTCCGGTTTCTTGAAGCTCGGGAAGGGCGCATTCTCATCGATGGCATCGACATCAGCCAGATCAAGCTTCATCACCTGCGTCGTCGAATGGGTATTATCCCGCAAGATCCGACGTTGTTCGCCGGCACGATCCGGTCCAACCTCGATCCTTTCCAAGAGCATGATGACAGCGAATTGCTTGCTGCCTTGGATCGTGTACAATGGTTAGCACAAGAGGGTAGCAGGCACTCAACGGCGAAGGGAATAGCGGCTAAGGGGCCCAGCTGCCAATCCTCTCCGGATATCCTGCAAGAAAAAACGCATCTTTCTCCCCTCGACACCCCTGTCGCGGGAGGAGGGTCGAATCTTTCGCAGGGCCAGCGGCAACTGCTCTGCCTGGCTCGTGCCATGCTTTCCGCGCCCAAAGTCCTCGTGCTGGACGAAGCCACATCAGCGGTAGATAATGCTACTGACGAGGTGATCCAAAGGTCTATCCGGTCCAGCTTTGGGCAGGGGTCAACGACGATGCTGGTGATTGCGCATCGTATTAGTACCGTCGCAGATTTTGATCGAATTCTAGTGCTTGACGCAGGTAAGGTGGTAGAGTTCGCTTCTCCACGGGATCTGATGCAGCTGAAGAACGGGATATTTCGGCGAATGGTGGAAGAGGATGGAGAGAGCGAATATCTCAAACGAGTGATATTCCGCAACACTTGATCGGTAATGTACACATACAGAGTTATATATACATTATAAAGTCTCCCGAAATGAGGAGCGGTCTCCTAATTGAAATACAATCATTGAAATATGAAAAGTATTGCGTAAGAGGAATGGGACCATTGATTGTTTTGGTACAGAGACTGCGGGAGTTCCATTGCCATCAAGTCTTCTCCGCATCGAGTCCACACCCATTTTCGCTTTTACATCATCTCAAACAACCAACACAGAGAGAGGCATAGCATGGCAACCCCAGCTGTAGCTCCGTTGCAACATCTCTCAAATGCACTTGCAACTCCCGAGCAATTGTCTAGCTCCTCGTCGTCCATTGATGGCGTCGCTCCCGACCTAGAGACGTCCATCCGATTTGCGGGCGCGCAGCTCACCCATGCTGCTGGCATCCTACTGCGCCTGTCGCAGGATATCATTGCGCAGGCCATCGTGACTTTCACCCGATTCTGGATCGGCACTGAAGGGGGAAGTATGCGTATTTATTCTGTAAAGGTTTGTTCTCTAGGATCAGCCTCTTCAATCGCTGCGTCCTAGTAGCTAACTTGATAACACTCTCACAGGACGTCTCCGCCGCTGCTCTGTACATGACCGCAAAGCTTTCGTTCCAGCCGACCTCACCTCGATCCGTCCTCAACGTCTACAACTTCCTCTTGTCCAAAGAAGCCTCTCCACTATGGTTCGTCAATCCCAAAGGAGTAACGGATAAGCCCGCGCCGGAAACGTATATCCTCTCCGAAGGAGGCTACCAGACGCAGCGCGCCGTCCTCCTACGAATTGAATCGGTCATCCTTCGCACATTGGGCTTCAATACGCACGTCGCCCTACCGCATACTATTGCCCTGACGTATTTGCAGACCCTCGGTGTTTCTTCGCCGGCTGTAGCGCGGAGGGTATTCGAGCACTTGAATGGATCTCTGCTGTCGCCGCAACTACTCTACGTCACGCACCAGCCGAATGCGCTTGCTGTCGCAGCCATATACCTCGCTGCTCGAGAAATCGGGGTGAAGCTGGTGGATGGGGAGTGGTGGGAGGTTTTTGACGTTGATCGGGAGGAGCTGGGGTTCTTGGTTGTCGCTATGAGGAGCTTGGAGGGGTTTGCGAGGGCGGAACTCGACAAATGGAAGACACGGACAGTGCCGATGAATGTGGAAAAATTGGAGGCTGAAATTGAACGACGGAGGATGATGGAGGAGGGCGAGTGAGGTCGTGGAATGACAGCTCTGACAGTGTCAGATTTTATTAACTCGATCGATCAGAGGATCTCAGCTGCCTATGAGGGTCGCACTAGACGCTCTGTGTCCGAAAAACCCAGGCAGACGAGCTGGTTGATGTATCATCCGGACGTTGCTTGGGCTTGAGGTCGTCGAATACTGGGAAATCTCGTGGACGACCTCGCGACAGTATCGATGATACAACTTCATGGCGTCACTCATGGTACTGTATACTGGCATCAATCATGGTACTGTATACCTTGAGGACCTCTTATTGAAAAGTGCGGGCGACTTTGGCTCGCTATTCAGCCCTGGCGGGATATGGGGACTGGATACAGACAAGCATGTATCTATATGGCTAGAGATCTAAAGACGTGATTGCGTCATCATCAGAACCATGTCAGTCAGGTGAAGCTGATCATTCGACTGGTCTTCTTAAATATAGTATAGCAAATCAATTACTATCGAGGACAGCTCTTATCTTTCCCGTGATATCTGTTTGGTGATGGTTGTGACGCTGCCTAAGCCACATGATGTAGCCCCGCGTGAGGGATGTAGAGACAGCGTTAACTCCGCCACTTCTGATGAACATCATCCAGTCTTCACAACTCAATACAACCTTGACTTGAACACCCGCTATACATTACAACCCCCAAGAACATCATCTTCGAGGATTCCAAACAGATATCAGCACGCAGTCAACGATGAACATCCTCCATTCCACCTTATCAACCTGGCGGGACCGCCTGGCCCCCGTCTCCCGCACCTCCACCTTCCGCACCACCGGCCAAATCACCCCAGAGGAGTTCGTCCTGGCAGGCGACTACCTCGTCTACAAGTTCCCATCGTGGGCCTGGGCCGACGCCTCCTCCCCCGCCAAGCGAGTCTCGTACCTCCCACCGGGAAAACAGTTCCTGGTCACCCGCGGCGTCCCCTGCCACCGACGCCTGAACGAGAACTTCGCCGGCGACGCAGGCCACGAGGACGAGATCGTCAGGGACATGTTGTCTGGCGCGGACGCGGACGACGGGGACGGCTGGCTGCGCACGGGCGGGGGGCGAGATCTGGCCGAGAAGCAGGCGGAGCGGATAAAGGATGTGCGCACCGTAGATGAATCGGGGAATATGGGCGAGCGGGAGGACGATGAGGAGGAGATCCCGGATATGGAGGACGACGATGATGACGATGAGGCGATTATCCGGGAGCCCGCGGGCAAGTCGACGACGCAGTACGTTTTTTTTTTTTTTTTTTCTTCCATTGGGTTGTGCTGTGTTTCACTGACATGACTGAACAGGCCAATCCGTACTTATAACCTCTACATCACATACTCCAACTTCTACCGCACCCCCCGCCTCTACCTGTCCGGCTACCTGTCTCCCTCCGAACCCGTCTCTTATACTCTTCTGCCCTCGCCGACCACCTTCCCCCTGACACGCCTGTCTTGCCTCGTTTCTCTTACTACCAA